ATCGATGATAACCTCTAGCCTATGACCTTCGTCCACGAATTCTCCCACAAGGTTGCATTGGTTAGGGATCGCCAGGAGGTTGGATTTATGAGGAATTCGGGGATGTTGCCTTGGCCTACGGGACTTTTTTACTCCTTCACACCCAACACATATTCTTGACCTGAAGGAGTGGGGGATTATGCATCGGCCAAAGTTACAAAGCTTCAAAATAATCACAGATACCCAGGCAAATCACTGGAACACACCACAGCCACCAAAAGTCCAAAACAGCACCATGCATCGGCCAAAGCACAAAAGAAAGCAACGACGGAACGACCACTACATACGACGCCACTACGGCCAAAAGGTAAAAACATGAATGTTCTACTCCCTTTTAATTTGCCACATCTGAGCTCAGAGAGTTGGGGACTCCTCATAGAGTATATGGGCCCAGACCCCATGCATGGCTCATATACTCAGAACACACGTGACAAAGCAGATGCCGTATGGCTAAGCCCCACTGGCTAGACGAAACGGATCATATAGAAATCAACCAAGTCAGAAATAGAGGACCAACGTCTCCAGCACTATGGCATTCCGTCGGCCTGGCCCTCTATCGACTAGGCCCTCCCTTGACCATTCTTTCACCAGTAGGCAGTATTTTGTACATTTCTTACTTAGCTCAGGAAATCATGTAATCAGCCCATTAGAGACCTTATTTTGTACTGGGCCTCCCAAGCCTAAGTCCTTGGAGCCCAACCCACATTTACCTCTACAAATGCTCCCCTTGAGGGGTAGTTGTAAGGGTTGAGAAATATTAATTACAAGTTTTCTCTTTGTAGCTCTCACTTCTCTTTAGATCTATACTCTATGAGGAAATTTTGTCCATATTCGGACTAATGACGAGTTGAGCTCCATGAGTGTGATTGTATCCTGCAAAAACTTTAAACAATTTTTTTTTGTATTTTTAGTAATATCGTCAACTTAAGCATGAATGTTTAAGGTTCACGCTGATGTCATTCGCGTCGATGTCAAATGTAGTGTGTTTTTATGTATAGTTTTGACCAAAACATTCCAAAGAATCAATGGTGTTGCACTCATGTTTAGAAGACAAGGTAACCCCACTTTTCCCTTATAATTATGTAAGCCCCCGTCATTTGTGTTTTAACGTACCCATAAAGCTTTGTTCGACGTGTGTCAGGACATTGTCTCGTCTGTTATTGATTGTTCATGTGCAAAAAGAATTTGCTAACGTCAGTTGTTGCTTCCCTCTGATGCTTAAGTTAGTGATCATTTATAGGTAAAGGAAAGTAATAAACTTAAAAAAAACACTTTAAGGTTACTGTATTGTGGTTTCTCAGAACCCGTCTACCGTCAGACGATATGCCCCCCGCCTGACGATTTCAATCGTCTCGTCCGGTCTACCTCGTCACCAAAGTGACGATAATATGTTAAAGAAAATACTCCCTCCATCCCGGTCATTTCTTCCAAGTTTGACTTGGCTCGCAAATTTAGAAAGTGAGAAAAAAGTAGAAATGTATGATTGTAGTTGTGTAAGAAAAAAGTGAATGAATGTGACCACATATTTTTTTCAAAAGTGAAAGTTGGAAGAATTAATTGGGACGACCCAAAAAGGAAAGTTGGAAGAAATGAGCGGGACGGAGGGAGTAATAAACTCAAAATGAAACAAATTCAAGGGCACCATATTGCAACTCCTGTTTATCATAAGACGATATGCCCCCGTCCGAAGATTTCAATCTGGTTTATGTTGTGACGTGACAACTTAGTGCTTAGGTGTTGAAAAAGGTTTTTAAGGCTTTTAATCATCTCGTAGAACTCCCATATCCTGCTCCAAAGCCCCGACACCTGGATTATCAAAAAAAAAAAAATTGAAATAGGGAGTTAGTTCCCTATCCTTATCCAGCCATTTTCCTTTTGCAGACTTGGTCTTCCATCTTTATCCGCATGATGTTATCCATCCAACTCAGCTTTTTCATTATTTAAAGGACAATAATATCCTTAATTTAATTCATGCCTCAACCATAACAGAGAAAATAAGGGAAACCCGCACGGGTAGCTCAGTTGGTTCAGTGGTGGAAATTTGGATCAAGTGACCAAGGTTCGAAACCCGCAACGGCCGTGTGGAGGTCACAGAACCTGAAATAAGACTAAGCCTCTGGTGCGCACGGGAAAAAGGCCTATCATCATTGGGCCGACTGAGTCACAGTGATTAACATCCTCCCAAAAATCTTGTCGGGTCGGGGTATGGGGTGCTTCTGGGGTGGGAGATTCCACCGTTGGACCAAGAAAAAATAAGGGAATTATTAAAGCATCATTCAAAACCATATACATGAGTATAATAAGGGGGTGTTTGGAACTGATTCTGGTTCTGCTTCTTTTTTTAAAGCAGAAGCAGAATAAGAATCAGTTTTCAGAAGCTGCTACCCCCAACTTCTAAAAAAACTGATTCTAGGAGTAATTTAGAGCACCAGAATCACTTCTGCATTTTCACTCAAACACTCCAACTTCTGCTTCTGCTCCCTGAAGGAGCAGAAGAAGTTTTAAGAATTAGATCCAAACACCCCTAAGTCTCATAATTATCTGAAACCATAGTCGTATAGCGTAGGGAAATAGTCTGTGTTAATGGAGTTGTTAGAAGTTATAAGAACATTTACATATACATGCAAATGTTATAAGCTTTGAAGCAAAGAAATACTTGAGAAATAGTACGTTTAATTTTTTTTATAAAAATTATATTTCACATTTCAACTTTCCCCATATTTAACCTTCTCGGCGCAACATAGGTTAGAACATATCATCCTATTAATATGTGCTATCGTAAAAGAAATTATGAGTACATGAATCATGATATTTCAATTTAGAAGCACGAAAGAAGAAAAATACAATAAATAACTGGCATATCACAGTGGAGCGGCGATGGTGAAACCCTAGCCTCCTCCTCCTTTTCTTTTCTTGTTTTCTTCTATTCCTTTAATCTTTTATTTCCTAACGTTGTCTAAAGATGTTATTTTTGATGGTGAAATGTCGCTCATCAGATGTATATTCCCCACCACCATCAATCAGGTGTTCCTGTGTCAGCAGGGGCGGATCCAGGAATGCAGAGTGGGGTGGACTAAGCGGTAAAAGAATTTGTTACTGCACACAAAAAGTTTAGCTTAAGGATATTATCGAACCAAACTTTTTTTGAAGTATTCGAATTCGAGCGTGATTTCGAATTTAATTTAACAACCCGAGCTTAGCGAACTTCAGACGTACTCGAACACGGGCTAGACTTTTAGTTTGAATGGTTATTGAAGCCGAGTTCGAGCATAGTGATATTTGGTTCGGTCCGAACTCGAGCCTGTCGATAACTCATAAATTATAGGAATAAACTTTATATATCTTAACATTCAAATGTTTTAGCGCAATTTTATAATTTTTTATTGATTATTAAAGACTGGTATTTATTGGTATGAATTGAAGTACTTCTTTAAAGGTATAAAACTAATAAGTAAAAACAATCGATGTGCATGTAACTAACAAGTATTCCCAGTTCAAAATTGAATTGAGATTTTTTAATTTTTTCTTATATATATTTCCAAAAAATAAATAAATCTAGAGCTATTAGGTAGTATATAAATGTAATATTAAATAAAAACATGCAAAAATATTACACAGTTCAATTTTATAACAAAAGTATATATCTACAGTTCTAAAAATCACAAATAGTAGTTCTTATACAATAATACGATTTTAAGGAAAGAATTGTTTGCCCTAGTGGGTGCCTTGAGCTTATATTTATAACAAACAATGTTTATTACAAAGTGATTATTGAATTTACATTATTAGTTCTAACTATGCTTGCTCCAAAAAGTAGAACTAGATAAGTATGTGGATGATGAAATAAGCATAATAATGATAATAATAGAAATATTATATGAAGAAACTAGGATAGTGAATAAAAAGTGACTTGATTATTATAATGATTAATTATGTTTAATTTTTACAATTAGAGTGATCTAAAATTGCACTCATAGTGACATTAGTCAAAAATAGATCCTTACTTTTATGTTAGTAATATTTTACAAAAACACTCATGATTGTTTTTTCCAGTAGATAGATCACTAAAATCAGTGAGGAAAATGTCGGGGAACATTGCCAAGTTTTATTAAGGAAAAAAGAAAGTGTAAGAGGAGAAGGGGACAAGACCAATACCTCTCCAAAAAGGGCATGCCGGCTGCAAATAATGGTTCATCCTACCGAGTGTCCTATAAAAGAATTGCTCCTTACGTCAATTGAAGGAGGCAACGATGACTACAATAATCCCATTGCTCGGCTTTGTGTTGTGGGACCATATGTTGGGATGGTTATGGGCTTTTAATTGTTTGAGTTGTCTTTAATCATGCCATTGGGGTATGTGAGCCTTTTGGCCGATTCCTTGAGCTTGAGCGGCGTTTTGGGGTGGGCTAGACAATACTTTTAGGATGGGCTGGATATGAAACCTATACCCATATTAATAGAAAAAAATTAGGTTGGGCTGGGCTGAAGCCCTCCCCTGCCCCTTAATAAATTCGCCCCTGCTTGTGTGCTAGTAAGAGGTTTGTATTCACTTCTTCATCAATCATGAATATGAATTTCTTCTGCATCAATATAGAGGTTGATCGTCCCCCTCCTGAACCACCGCCTATCCAGAAAGATAGGATTGCATGAGTTGCTTTCTTTGCAGTGGCAGGTGAAACCGAAACAATGTCTGCAATTGACTCCTTATCAGTGACTGGAAAAATCGGCAAGATTAATAATTTCTTTTCGATGGCTGGTCAAACCAGATCCATTTCGAGTAGCATGAGCAGTCACACTGCGGTTCGAGTGTACTTGATTACAAGGTTGGCGAACATGAACGCCTTTATAGTGTTTTTTTGTTCCTTGTCTCATCATAGTGTAACATTGAACGCTATGATTGTAATGCTTCGGCTTTTTATTGTTATGTTTCTTGTTACCCTTATAAATAATAATTAAGTTATTTTTTCTCCAAAAAAACATCATATCACAATTTTATTGTTCTTTTCCCCCATAAGTTTTAACATTCTATGGTTTTTAGGCTGAAATACAATGCCATATCACATTAGTGGCTGGTTGCATTGCATCAAACTTTCAATGAATGTGTGAGAGTTATAATTCCCAGGTGCGCGCTGAATGCATGAGTGGTAAAGAGAACTTCACCTTTCCCATCGATGGAATCATCGGACCATCCAAAGACAGGCAAGCAGAACAACGCAACAGATTCTGTGTCAATGACCGACAAGAAAAACTACTATAGCATCTTAGACCATGAACTCAAGAATGGAAAAATGGAAACCAACAACCTTAGTAACTATGGAGTGCTTTTCCCCCTCTCAGTACTCCTACTCAACTTGCCATTCTCACTGGATGTCTTTGGCTGAGGCGAACCCATAGATGAACCCGACATATTATAGTCCTTTGCTTGCTCTAGTTCGTCCCAACCACCAAAAGCAGAGTCATCTTGGTCGATCCCACTGGAGAAGACATCAGACTTTTTAGTGTTACGCTTTCGGGCTCTTCTCCTAGCATTAATGTTTATTGTTGGAGTACGTCTTTGGGATCTTTTCTTGTTCTTGCGCCATAGATCGTTATGTGCAGTGCCCCATAGTTTTTGAAGGGCAATCATGAATACTGATTGCCCTATTGGAAGAGCTAAGGCTACAAGAAAAGCTTTGAGACCATTTGCTAGCAATAATGACACAACAATTGGTGGAAAGCTCCACCCATAGGCCTTGAAAATCTGCACTGCCTAACTAGGAATACATATCAGTAGAAAACTTACACAGCCCCTTGATAACAATGAAATTGTCTAAATTCGCTTAATTGTGAAAAAATATAATTATAATGTTTTTATAAATAAAATCAAGAAAAAATTATTGTGGTTGATGAGTTGAAAATGAAGTTACCAAATGGGAGTAGAATAAACCACAAAAACTACCTCATCAAATTCTTATTTACGAAGATCTTCACCAGAGTATGTATCTAAGTACAAAATTTTACTAAAAACTTTACCAATCTATATATACACACATAAGCTCCATAGTGCAGACTAACTTAGAATTCTGAATGTACTCCTGAAGTCTTGATATAATGATACTTAAAAAATTACTTGGAATTAGTTTACTTGATAAAGAATAGACCCCTTGCACCAAATTAAACGGATTTTGGCTTAGTAGGATTCTTCTAATGAGAATGAGCAGAATAAGAGCCTGTTTGGTAGCACGAAAATCGGTTGATTTGGCTGATTCTGCTGAAATTTATGAAGTTCTGGCTGAAGTGGCTGCATTGGCTGATTCTGCTGATTTAAGAAAAAAATACTTTTAAAATATATTTTATTAATAAAATAAAGAAAAAATTATATGTAAAAATAGCTAAAATGGTCATCTACAGTAACTTCAGCCAATAAAGCCAGAAAAGTATCTTCAACCTTGCTTTTTCTTCTTATTACACAATTCAACGCGCGAAATCAAAAGTTACGTGTTTGGTGAAAAAGTTGTCTGATAAGTCTACCGATAAACAGTGTTACCAAAGGGCCGGCTTTTCCGGAAAATACAACCGAAATATAATTAAGGATCACTCAATCACCCAACCCGTAAGTCCAATTTTACAAGAAAAACCTTTAGCCCGAAAGGAGAAAATCAAATTCAAATCTGTGAACGCAAACAATTGAAAAGCTTCAATGTCAAATGCGAGTAACATTGTTCAAGGAATGAAACCTTCAAAATCCAGATACTACGGACAAACTCGTCAACAGGTTCCGAGAACTCTCCTTCTTCTTCTTCTTTGAGTTTGAAATTCCGGGTTCTGAAGGTCTCAGCATTTGAGTTCCATCGCTCAGACCGGCAGAGATGGAGCGGATGCAGGAGGGGCCGTTTTGACACCGCAGAGCTGCGGAGCTGCGGGGGGAGAATGAGAAAAGGGGAGGGAGGAATAGAGCGTTGGTGAGATTTTCGGGTCGGGAAGAAAATGAGACCACCTCCATGGGCGGGAGTGGCCTGCATCGGAGCTGCTACTTAGGTCCATTTGCCACGTAGTGTTTTCTTATCGTTGATCCGCTCCATTTCCTCACCATACATTTTCTTATGCTACCCTCTCTCTAATTATATCAGCTTAGACTGATATGGATTATGGACAACCAAATACATCCGACAAGATTCGTTTAAGAAAAAGAAAAAGAAAAACAAAAATGTTTCTCCTACGCAAGTTGAGCAGTGAGCACAACTCGTATACAAAATGTGGGTCACGCATTTGCTTGTGAACACAGACAAGAGTTGATCGTGTCCACAAATATTAGTTTTTGTGTAAAAAGGTATATTGGCAGCGTCTGACACTGACGCTATTGTGCAAGTCAATCTGTATGAGTGAAGTGCTTGTGTACACAGACAATATTTACCACATGACAATAGTTGTGCAGCTCACAAACAATAGTTGTCTGTGTGATCAATTTTAATTGTATGGTTGAACAAAAATTTTAATTGTCTATGTCCAATTTTACATGTACTTTGAAAAAATTGAATATTTAATAAAAATAGATGAAAAAGATGAATAAGTTGATTTTATGCAAGTAAAGGAAGAAATTGAATATAAAAAGTTAGAGAAGAAGAGCATGGAAAATGGAAGAAGAGGACGAAGGAGAGAAGATAATCCATTTTTTATTTACATAATTTAAGGGGTTGAGTAAAGAGGGAAGATAGTTTTTGCCGTTTATACTATGTACAATTTGTGTAGAAGTTATGTACAAACATCATTTTTCAAAGAAAAAAGGCAAATTGTACTCCGTACTAGGTGTACGTAGACAATTCGCGTAAAAAATTACGTTATAGAAATTTAAGAGATGTGTATATACACAAACAAAAATGGGTGAAATATGTACAAAAATATGCAATATTCAAAAAATGCTCAAAAAGAAGAAATTAGAAAGAGACTTAGATCATCTCTACCCACCTATCCTTTTGACTTGACTAGCCACCAGTGGCGGATCCAGGAAAAAAGTTTATTGAGGGCAAATGAAGTAAGTAAAAACATTTATGGAGAATAAAAGTTAGTAAAGTACTATGGTACACGATATTATAAGAATAACAATTTTTTTTTATAAAACACATCACAATTTTGATTTTTTGGAAGAGAATCATTAAGTATTATTTGAGATACTTTTTCATAAAATATTACTCAAATATAACTGATGAACAAAAAAGTAATTAAAGTAATTACTATGTGCATCACTTCATGACCAATAAAATGTAAAATTGAACATAAACATAATCATTGAAAGTTACTATCTTAGTCATGCTATACAAGAAGTCACATTTTCTAATCATTTTTATTTTAGTCATATACTCCGTATATCTTATTTTTTGTTTGAACTATCTACAAGAATATGATACCTCCATCCAAATTCCCAAAATACTTAGTCATCTCTTCCATTTTGGACATAATTTTGATTAGTACTTTTATGAAAGTCATAAAAGTACTTTTATGAAAGTACTTTTAACAAAAGAACATTTTCATATCACTTTTATATGAAGTCTTATAAACAATTTTTAATAAAAATATAAAGTTAGTCAAAGTTTTAAAGTTGACTATTTTTTTGGGAATTACTAGTCATCAATTTGAGTACATGAATAATGAACTCAAATTTACATTAATAGCAATAAAAAATCTGGCAGAGCTCAAACTTTGAGCATATAGTAACATGATATTAGTTCATTGAGTTGCATGCCACCATTAACTATAAATTAACATGGAGTAACATTATAACAACATCATTTATATATTTTACATAAAAACAAATATTAGACATTAGACAACATGTAAATGAGGGTTAATGCGTAGCATGAAATCATACTTTCACATTCAACCATATTTTTAATCAGGGAGAAGGGAATAGGGGGCAACCATACTTTTTAATTGGGGGCAAATACTTGGTCTTTTAACAATTTATCACAAAATACATGGGATTAGTGGGAATTTGTTGGGGGCAGCTGCACCCCTTCCTCTCTTACTGTATCCGCCCCCGCTAGCCACGTAAACTTTTGTAACAAAAATAAAATGTACTTCAATGGTTAACTATAATCCCTTCCTTTTCAATTATTAAAAATAATGTTATATTTAATAATTCTCCTCGTCAAGCTAGTAGCTCATGTTAACTAGTTAGCTTTCTTAAGCAAAATGAAAAACAATGCTCTAATGGTAAGCTATTAGATTTAAAATTGCATGCGAGTTCTCTAAATGGACTATTGAATATGTCCAGGGGCCATTTATTTTTTATTTAAATATGTTTTTAATCCCTCCAAATATAGTGCATTTTGTTTTGTATCTTTGTAATTTTTTTCATCCCATTATTTATCTTTTTGGTACAACACCGATGATAATAACCTCCGTTTGATTCAAAGTAACCCCGAGTAATATGTTGCTCTAATTCTTTGTTATATTATTCAAAAAGTAGTTAATTTATTTTTTCAGAAGGTTGTAACGCATGTTTAAAAAATGTGAATATTTAGAAATATTTGAAGCTACTAAATACTAAAATGTCACTATTTAGAATAAAAATCTCTTTTTTTAAAAGGAGAAAGTTTATATTATATCATGAGAAAGTCACAGAAACACATTAGGATAAACGTTCTCCAATTTCGATCACATGCCGTAGGATTAAATATAGAATTGTATATGTTATAAGCATAACAATTCGCTAATCACTCTTCGGGCAATTTCAGCTTATTGTGACCAAAAGAAAAGGAATGTCCCGTGAACGGCGCGAAGCACCCACTAATCCAAAAGTGAAACGAAATCCTCCCACACCAAACCTATGCCGAAGCACAAACGACGGAACCTTCAAACCCTAGGGAGGGTAACAGACCACATTTAGAATAAAAATCTCTTACAAATTGATGACATAACTTTTCATTAGTAATACGTAAGGAGAAACCTCACTATAATTAATACTCCTTCTATCCCTAATCAAACTTCCAAATTTCCATTGTGGTCATCCCAAAATAAGTTTTCATTTTCCCTTCTTATTTTATGATCACAACAATTCATACACATTCTTATACATTTCTTTCTCACCTACATAATTATTCATCACATAATAACCATTATCTTAAAGGAAAGTTCCCGAAATAGGACTAAAACAGTTTCAAAATTCCAAAATAGAACTGTCATGTTTTTTTATTCCCAAAATAGGACTAATTACTACCGTGTTTAGAAAATACTGCCATGTTTGAAATCTGGTACTGCCAAAACATGACAATAATTAGTCTTATTTTGGAAATTTTCAAACTGTTTTAGTTTTATTTTGGGTAATTTCTGTTATCAATCTTGTGTCAAATTTAGAAGTTAATTCAGGAAAGTAGGGAGCACGGGAGCAGTAACTTCTCAAATTTAAACCAATTGCCCCTAACCGGAATTGGTCAGTAAAAGGAAATGCAGGGTAAAACACCATAAGAAATAGCAAACCCAACCAACTGGTAAAGCATCAAACTCTCAACCCCTTCTGGCAAACCAAACCAAATGTATAACCAAACACAGCCGTATCCCACCGCCACCTCTGCTAACACCGCCACCGCCAGGCTGCTCTCCACGCCGTTCATCTTCGCAGCTACTCTTTTTGTCTCCCTCCTGCTCATCGTCTCCCTGCTCACTCTCCCCTCTAGGCCGCCGCTCAACCCCTCTCACCCACAGCTCTTCCCTAACCACCATCCAACCCGCCACCGCGTTCTCATTCCCGGAGACCAATCTTCCCCTGCTCCTAGCCCCCCGTCCATCGCCTACTACATTTCCGGATCCGCCGGCGACTCTGGTCGCGTCCTCCGCCTTCTCTATGCCGTCTACCACCCCCGCAATCACTATCTCCTGCACCTCGACCGCTCCGCTCCCCAGGCCGACCGTGACAACTTGGCCGTTTCTATCAACGCGGTGCCACTCTTCAGGACTGTCCGTAACGTTCATGTCATGGGCAACGCCGATATCGTGTACTCTAAAGGCTCCTCCTCCATATCTTCAATGCTCCATGGCGCATCGATTCTTCTCCGCCTTTTGAAAAGTTGGGATTGGTTCATCAATCTATCTAGTGCTGATTACCCACTCGTTACTCAGGATGGTATATCATTCGATTCAAATTTCAGTAGTTACTGCTCTGTTCTCGTTGACTTCCAGAGTTTAATCAAGTTTTGTTTTTTACCAATAGCTACCATACAAAATGTTTAGGATAAATTTGTTGACCTTATAAATGCGGATCCTTTGCTAGTGTAAGAGCGAAATGTGATCAAGTAGCTTTACAAATTGCATAGTTAATGCCTTATTGTATGCTTTACTTTCCATATGTAGTCACCGGTCTCATTCTTATTCATCACTCCCTTTGACTTTCAGATCTTCTTCACATTTTGTCATACCTCCCCAAAGATCTCAATTTCATCAATCACACAAGCTATATTGGATGGAGAGAGTATGCTAATTCTCTTTTCATCTTTTAACTTCAAAAGTACGGCCATTACAACATTAATGGCTGAATGGAAAACTCAAGCATTTTAGTGCTCATTATAATGTTTAAATGAGATAAAAAATATTTATATGATGTGCATTTTTAGATCACAGAAGTTGAAACCAATAATAGTTGATCCCGGTCTTTACCTTGTGGAGGAAAGTGAGATATTTTATGCCACTCAGCAGAGGCCACTGCCAGATGCTTTTCGGGTTTATATTGGTGAGCTATCATCCTTATATTCTGTGCCTCTATTGATAGTTAATATGTTCAGTTGGTGTTTCCTAATTCCTAGCAAGCACTTCTTTTTCTTTCCCCATCCTCTTTACCTCTAGAGCTATGTGCCACCTCCAAGTCTTTATGGGTATAGAAATTAAACACTAACACATCTCTCTGTAGATACAAGTTCATTTTTGAATTCAAATCAAATCTTCCAATCTTCTGCTGATATATTAATTTTTAAATTTAACATGTCCTTATTAGCAATGCCATACCGTAGACACCATGAAGTCTAAGTTGCACGCCTTTACCATAGATGCTCCACTATGCTGAAGACCACTGTAAGCTGTGAAATTATAGTTTCGGCTTCTATTTTAGAGCACTCCTATAAAAAAGTGTTAGTATTGATTTTATTGTCATTAGTGAAAAAAGATCAGTGTCTTGGATGCTTCCAATGTGATTATAAGTGTTACCTAGGCGGCAGACAGGGGCCTAGGAGGGGGCAGATGACATAGAGATTTTTATCAATATTTCCTTTGTTTGTGTTATACTCAAAGTCTCAAACAAACAAACTTGTCTAAAATTTTAAACATTTGAGTTGAAGTGCATATTGTTCTATATTGTACTTTATATGAAAATATCTATGGTATAGTGATTATTAAATATAGTTTGAAATAGGGTTGTTAACGAGTTGAGCCTAGTCCGAACACCCAAAGCTCGAGTTCAGATCGATAAGGAATTAGTGGTGTTAGGGTTCGAGCTCGAAGCTCGGCGAGCTTTACAAATGAGGCTCGTGTTCAGCTCGATAGGCGTTCGATGTTCGATCCGAGCACTCAATAAGCTCGTAAATTATGCTCGAGTTTAAAATTTTAGGTGATGCTCGTTAATAGGCCCGTGCTCGAATGATTCAACAAGTATTCGGTTCGTTAATAATCATATTTAAATTCATAAAATCATACTAATTATATTTAAATTGTGACATATATATAAATTATAATTATAATTTCAGGGTGTTCGATAGGCTCGAGTTCGAACCAAGCCGAATACTACTATGTTCAAGCTCGGCTCGATTACTTTTTCGAACTTAAAGCTCAGCTCGGGTTCGAGTTCGAAAGCTCGTTAAGCTCGGATCGTTAGGTTCGAAACCGAGTTCGAACTCGAAAGTTCGATAAAAGCTCGGTTCGTTAACAGCCCTAGTTTGAAACAAAAATCAATGGTCGATTTTGTCAAGGCTCAGGTAGATTGTTCATTCTCTGTGTTTATATGGTTATGTCTCCCACCCATGGCTCAAACACATATAAGCGGGTTCATGTTAGATTTGGGATGCTTTAAACAAGTGACTATAGGTCATCTTAATACTCAGACTTCAGTATAAAGTGTTAATCGGGTCATATGGTTTTAGTTTTTTCTCTTAATGTAGTGAATCTGACCTTATAATAAAGTATAACATCTCATATGTTTCATATGTTTGTACTTTGTACACACGTTAAATACAGCCAATCCTTGGTGATGGTACATATAGAAATATGTACACTAATGGGATTGGCGCAGTAGGGCTAACACTCCTTTAAGTTGGGCATTTGATCCACCTGTTTATAAAATTTGCTAGTTGATCTCCAGTCTGGACGTAAGGTGTAGAAACCAATCCCATTTGGATCTTTTCATGTATGAAATGACAGTCCACCTCAAGTTCCGTCTAACAACTCTAATAAAACTATTATCTGGAGTCCAATGCATAAACAGAAACAGAGTTGGTGATGAGGCTACCACATCATCACCATCTCAAGTAGTTACTTACATTTGGGTTCAATGTTATCATCATCCCCTCCTTACTCACGTTTTACGTACCTGCTTACATGCTGACCTAGTGGAGGACCTGGGAGGGGGGCTAGGGGGCACGCGCCCCCGCTTTGAGCCTGGAATTCCACTAGTATCACTTAAGTTTAAAATCGGTGCCCCGCTTCGGTCCCGGAATTTCACTAGTAGCACTTAAGGTAAAAACCAGTGCTCTCGCTTCATACCAATATTTGATAATTAAGATACTAAAATGTTACAGTTATATAAATAAAAAATTAATACAAAATATATAATTTTTAGCTGAATTAATCCAATTTCTGTGAGTCAAAGCTACCGAACCTTGCGGAGTTATATTCATGCTATTTTCATCAGTTGATCGAATAATGGAGCTGAAAGAGCAACTCCAGGTGTAGATATATGAAATGAAAACAAATGAATTATATTCATGAATCGAAATATGAATATCGCTACAGCTAGGTCGTCGCCCGTAAGCGACGCGTCATCCCTCCTCCTGGGGGTGGTGTCAAATGAGCAAGGACGCGCTACACTTCATAGGCCTAGATGTGGTGATAAGAATGCTAAGGCTGCTAGGTCGTCGCTCGGAAGCGACGCGCCACTCCAATGCCCGGGGATGGTGTCAAATATGCAAGGGCATGGTGGAGGTTGATGTGGGGTGAAGAAGAGAAGGCAGGGTGTTAGATTGCGTTTTGGGACATGGAATGTTGGCTCTCTTACAGGAAGATCATCTGAGATAGCCGAGGTTATGAAGAGGAGGAATATCAGCATAATGTGCATGCAAGAAACTAAGTGGGTTGGAGAAAAGGCACGTGAGATTAATCTCGGAGGTTTAAAGCTTTGTTACTCAGGGATAGAGAGAGGAACCGAAATGAAGTAGGCATTATGGTGGCACATGATTATGTTGACGGTGTGGTTGAAGTTTTTAGGAAGAACGATCGCATCATGAGCATTAAGTTGATAATGGGGGATGAGATTGTGTCCGTGGTTAGTGCCTATGCACCACAAGTGGGATTGGATGCATCTATCACTCAACAATTTTGGGAGGATATTGAGGAAGTGGTGCGACGAGTGCCAAGGGGAGAGAAATTGGTCATAGGAGGCGACCTCAACGGGCATGTGGACCCAAGTCGTGATGGTTTTGAGAGTATCCATGGCGGACATGGTTTTGGCACTAGAAATGAAGCGGAGAAGAACATTCTGGATTTTGCCTCGACATATGAGTTGGTTGTGATGAACACTTGGTTCAAGAAAAGAGACTCTCACCTTGTCACCTATAGAAGTGGAGCTAATAGTACCCAAATTGACTACTTTTTAGTACGGACGACTTGGAGAACTAGTTACATTGATTGTAAGGTTATCCCAGGTGAGAGGTGAGAGTGTTGTCACTCAACATAGGATGCTTGTGCTTGATTTTCGAGGTAAAAAGAGGAGACGAGTTAAGGTACAAGGGGAGCCAAAGATAAAATAGTGGAGGCTTGAGGGGAATCTCCAACAAAGTTTTGCACACAAAATGTTGGAGGAAGATGTATGGTCTATTGATAATGACGCACACGTGGATGATGTGTTGTTATCAATGGAGTCCACCATTAACAAAGTGACAAAGGAGATACTCGTAGAATCTAAAGGATGTCTGCCACCAAAAAAGGACACGTCTTGGTGGAATGATGAGGTGAAACAATCAATAAGGACCAAAAGGGAATGCTATAAGAAATTGGGCAAAAGTTGGAGCGACGAGAACATAGAGGAGTACAAAGAGTCTAGAAGAAGAGCAAAAAAAGCTGTGAAGGAAGCCAGAGGAAAATTGAGCAAGGAATTACATGTAAAGTTGGATTCTAAGGAAGGAGAAAAAGATATCTATAGACTTGCTCGCCTTCGTGACAGTAGGACTCAAGATATCAGAAAAGTTAAATGTGTGAAGGATGTCGATCAAAGGGTACTAATGGACGACGAAGAAATAAAAGAGAGGTGGAGGTCATACTTTGATACCTTGTTCAATGGGAATAAAGTCCAAGGTATTGATGATCTTACTATATTAGAGTGTATGGTAAATCAGGACTTCGTGAGAAGGATTCAAATAACAGAAGTTAAAGAGGCTGTGAGAAAAATGGGGCGGAAGAAAGCAGTGGGCTCAGATGGCATACCGATCGAGGCTTGGACAAATTTGGGAGAGAAAGGCATCGAGTGGCTAACACGTTTCTTCAACATGATTTGGAGAAACAACAAAATGCCAGTGAGTTGGCGGAAGAGTACTCTCATTCCCTTATTTAAAAATAAGGGTGATGTACAAGATTGTGCTAACTATCGAGGGATTAAACTTATGAGTCACACAATGAAACTTTGGGAGCGAGTGGTTGAGCAAAAACTTCTTAAAAGTGTGAAAATTTCGGAAAATCAATTTGGTTTTATCCTGTACGCTCAATAACTGAGGTCATTCACCTTCTTAGACAAGTTGTGGAGAAGTATAAAGACACTAAAAAAATCTGCATTTGGTGCTCATTGACTTAGAAAAGGCATATGATAGGGTACCTCGAGAAGTTCTTTGGTGGGCCTTAACTAGAAAAGGCATATCACTTAAGTATATCAGTATCATCATGGATATGTATGATGCCTGTACTACAAGTGTCCGCACTAGTGTAGGGAGGACCGCAGAGTTCCCTATTAGGCTATTACTATCAGAGTGCACCAAGGATCTGCTCCGAGTCCTTTCTTATTTGCTATAGTCATGGATGAACTTACGAAGTCAATTCAAGAAGATATACCGTGGTGCATGATGTTTGCCGACGATATTGTATTGATTGATGAAACACAATCCGGTGTTAAAGTGAAGTTGGAAGTATGGAGACAAACATTGGAGAGCAAGGGTTTCAGACTGAGCCGAAGCAAGACTGAGTATATGGAGTGCAAGTTCGGTGGAGGTAGAAGTAGTAGCAACTGTGGGATTACTCTTCATGATAATGAGATACCAGTGTGTGGTATGGTCTGTTACTTAGGTTCCATAATTCAGAAGGATGGTGAATTAGATGGAGATGTATGCCATAGAATCAGAGCTGGGTGGATGAAATGGAAGAGTGCTTCAGGATTTCTAAGCGATCGAGGTATGCCGACTAGACTAAAAGGTAAATTTTATCGTACAACAATTAGGCCAGCATTAATGTATGACGTAAAGTGTTGGGCGGTGAAGTAATGCCACCTTCAAAAGATCAGTGTGGCAGAGATGCGTATGTTGCGTTGGATGTGTGGACATAACAGAAAAGATCGCTTGAGGAATGAGGTAATCAGACAAAAGGTGGGAGTAGCACCTATAGAAGATAAGATGCAGGAGTCTCATTTGCGGTGGTTCAGGCATGTGCGTAGCAGACTGAGTGATGCACCTGTTAGACAACTTGAGGGGTGGGGAGAAGAGGCAGAGAAGAGGGAGGGGAAGACCAAAACAGACTTGGATTAGAGGAATCAGAACTGATATGCGTCTTCTTGGGTTGGATGAAAGTATGGCTTTGGAGAGAGCAATGTGGAGGGCGCACATCCGTGTGGACGATTGATGTCTTGTATACCTTTCCTCTCTTTTTTCTTTTTTCGTTTATCTTCCTTATCTTTTTATATTCCTATGTTATTTTTATCTTCTAGCTTTTTTATGCTCTTTTATTTTTTATCTTTTATCTTTCTTATATTCTTGTGTTATTGTTAGCTTATATTTATTTATCTTTATTTTATTCATTTTATCTTACTTTTTATTTTTTCTTTCCTTTGTTGTCCGTCTTCTCTTTTTGGCATCGATATCATAGATCGATTCATGTTAGTCGACCCCAAATTCTTTCGAGATTAAGGCTTGGATGTTGTTGTTGTTGTACAAACTATTGGTGAAGTTTGTAAAAAGATGGTTGAACTTAAAGTTCACAATCCTTTTCACTTGGTAATTGGTATATCGTTTGATTGAGTTGACTTTAGTAGTAGCAGTTGCAACAGCCACCGTTGAAAGGGCCTTCTCTACGATGAATGTTATCAAGACAAATCTTACGGATTGCTTGGTGTGCTACATCGAGAGAGCTGTTTTCAGAATATGAAAACTCGTAGGCTTGATTTACCAAAGTTGCAGTAGTGAACTATTTAATACTCCCTCCGTCCCAATCTGTTTTGCAAAATTTCCTATTATGACCGTCCCAAAATGTTTTTCCACTTTCCATTTTAAGTATATAAACATCAATAAAGTGACAGCTTTGCCCTTATTCATTTTTACCCACCCACGATGCTTTTACCCACCCACCTCTTATCTCTTTCACCTGCCTTCTCTCTTCCCCTCATATTCAATTTCAATGCTATAGCCCCCATCTTTGTAAAATGGAGTCTCGCACGTTCACACCTTTTCCATAGCTAATCATATTTCTTTCCCTTTTGAAGATGAAGAAGGATAAAATAAAACGCTCCACCTGAAAATCTCGAGGTCTGACACGAGCCTCTTTGACATAGTTCATCTCAGATGATTCGCCACCGACCACTGCCCTTAGATAACTCCTTCGAATTAATTAATGCGTCGCGGGTCGAACCTTGAAGCGGCGGACAGCGGTCTGTCAGTTGTAGGCTTTAGTAGTTGTCCGAGATGGTGGAGAGGCTGCTGCTGAGTGCCCCGCTAGAAGTGAATGAGGGGATCTGGCTATTATCTCGGGTCGGAGAAGGCCCGAGCAGGTTTGTGTTGGTAATAATTAATAAACCAATCGTTGATGAAGAAGGAAAAAGGAATGGGCGGTGACTGTATGGTCAGACAGATAATGTACTTGGGTAGTTGGGTTACAGATTTTATTTTTGCATTTGTTTATTTGTTTTAATAAAGGGGGGCAAAATGGTAAAGTAAATGTTAATCTTCCCATCTTCTTAATCCCCGTGCGGTCAACTTTTGCAATTCAATTCGGGACGGAGGGAGTGTAGTTAACTATTCTATATGATTTAATACATTTCTTTACCATTTTTATTACATTTAGAGTTTTTATTATAGACTAAGTTTAGTGTTTAGTGTGCCCCGCTCAGGGGCGGAGCTAGGGGATTGAGCCGGTACAAAGAATATTTTTGAAAATTTTTTTACTCAATTTTTTTACACAGATTTTTTACACTAAAAATATAGACATTTTTTAAATTTGGGCTGAGCCAGGGTCAGGGCTGGTCCTCCCCTAGCTACGCCCCTGCCCCTGCTCTCACAAATCCCTGGGTCCGCCACTAACTGTGCCATCTTTTTGAAGTTGTGTAATCCTATTTATTACTTGCCTTTGTTGTTAAATTTTCACCCGTGGATATCATCTTTTTCTACCTAAAAAATTTAGAAATTTTAATTTCTTCCAAAACATCATAAATTTAGCTAAGTAGTTTCTTTTTTACATAGATAGACCTTCCATTCCTAGGGGCAGATGTAAGATATGCGTACACCTCACCTTTCCCAGAGGCGCAAGGATGAATCTGGTTGCAAGGGCTGTCTCCTACCCCACCTTGAGGACAAGCAAGGTGTTTGTCCGGGGGGGGGGGGGTATGATAGGAACCCGGAAGAATAAAGCTTTTAATCATAAGGCCCAGGTAGACCAGTGTTAATAATAATAACAATAAGAGTAGTACAAATAGAAGCTAAGTAAGGACCAAGGAATAAGAGTTAGCAGAAATTGGGATAGACTTGGGAGAGGGGACTGCTCGTAGTGTCTCACTGTATCTTTCTCTTTCCTTCTATTTCCGCTACTGTAATTCTGAGATCATCGTCAATCTACTATTGATTTCTGCTTTGTTTTGGGAGTCTATCAGACATACTGTCTATGTTAGGTTTGTTTATCAGCTTCCTCGATAGTTTATTTTTGTATTTTTTTCTTTCAAAATTTCTTTTCCCCTGCATTAGAGCTGGTGGGGCCTTCTAGGTCCTGGCATGCATCCAGTGTCAAAGGTGGAGATCGCGGGCTGCATTAAAAGGGGGAAAATGAGGAGAAAGATGAAAAATTTTCATTAAGTACAAGGGATTTTACAAAGAGAGAGGCAACACTCAAGTGGTTGAATATTCTGATGCTAAATTGGAAATCTAATAGACAAACACTCTATTTCTGGATATTGTGTTTTTGTAGTTGACAATTGCATGTCATTAAAAAGTAAAAACAAGTTGTCGAAAACAACTTATTATTGCTGGATCCAGTGGTGATAAGCTTCAGTCACATGTGACATGATGTGCTTATAATATTTTACTTGAGGTATAATATGAGACATCAATTTGATAAAACACTACTCCAGAACACAGTAATAACACACTCCAACTCAATATGGTGACATTTATTGATAAAACTCAAAATCAAAGTCTGGGAACAATGAAAGATGAAGGAAAAAAAATAGCAGAAATAAAAATGAGATCTTTCGAGAGGATCTCGCTCTCCCAGCTCCGATCAATTCCCAGATACCCGTCCCCCTCCTCTTCCGTCTGTTTTTATTCTTTGCGCCCTTTCCTCTTGACTATTCAACTTCAGCCAGTCCGTTATTTTCTGCTTCCCCTTCATTACTCTGGTCGTTTACCTTTTTGCCCCTTCCTTTATAAACTTCGGAGAAGTCCCTGTTGGGATTTATTTGGAATGAGGTAGTACTCGTATCACAATTCTGATGACGTAATATGTGATAACTTTACTGCACTAAGCAATCATCAAGTTCCATGATAGAAGTTCATATCTGAATTTTTATTGTTATGCAGACACTGTCCGGTTCCTGCCCGTCCCCTATTTTCTGAAACCATGGGGTATGAGTATGGTACCGGTCTGGTTGAACTGCCAGTACTGGCAGTTCTTGGACTTTTTTTAGCGTGACGAAGTGTTTGAAACTGGGACTGGGACTGGAACTGGACTGGTGTATGGTTTGCTACTGGTTGAAGTTTAGTCTTGGGAAACATTTCTGGGGGGCACAGGAAGGTGGTGGTGGTGGAGGAAGAATTGACCGTAACTATACCTGTGCCCACCCCTAACACCATGTCCTTAGAGGTCCCACGACCAGCTACATTCAGTTTAAGAAATAAGTGTGCTATTATGCTTGTAGAACACACTTGTGACTTGTGAGGAAGGCAACCATTCTCATCTTTGTCAGTCTTGGTCTCAGAACTTCATGTCTAGATGTTATATACCTGGAAGCTTGTCGTGTACAATAAGATCATGGTTACATTCATCATATGCAGATATTATATATTTGGCAGCTTGTTGTCTATTCAGATCATGACATCATAGATACATCAATTTTATTTTTTCTCCTATGTCCTATTTTATTACTTATCAACAGTTTCAAATATGAGAGTACTTCTGGAAACAACTGTTGAGTTGCTCTGTGGCTACAGGATCTCCGTCATCCATCTTGAGCAGAAAGTTCATTGATTACTGCATCTTAGGCACAGCAAACTTTCCAAGAACACTGTTAATGTACTTGTCGAATACACCATCTTCACATTCCATCTACTTCCCCACCATATTGTGCAACTCAAGGCTATTCAATAGAACCATCATCAATCACAACCTGCAGTATGTTTCACTAAATTCCAGAAAGGAGACCCGTCTGCTCAACTCCAGTGACTTCATAAGCATGATAAGGAGTGGTGCAGCATTTTCCTCACCATTTCAGGCAAATGATCCAATTCTTGACCAGATTGATGCTCAAGTTCTCCACCGTAGTTCTGCGAAACCAGTTCCAGGCGGGTGGTGTTTGGGAAACAGTGAAGCCGACAAGTGTGCTGTCTGGGGAGATGCTGATATTCTAAGACCAGGTGTTGGAGCAAAACGGCTTCAAGAGCATTTCATCAGTCTTCTTGCCGATGGAAAGTTTCAGTCTCAACAATGCGTAGCAGAGTAACTAACACTTAAAAATGAAAAGCTAGAGAGATGGTGAGGATGTAGAAAAGTTGGAGGAAGATCTGAAATGAACTGTCCACCAATAAGACTTATCCCCCCCCCCCCCCCCCCCTCCCGTTTTTCTACTGATTGCATTTTTTATGAACTTAAATATGAGCAAATGACATACTGGTGTTGTATACACATTACAGTATTACACAGTCTGGTCCAAATGGCGGCTATTTCTTTTCTGATACTTGGCTACCCGGCATTGCGTTTTTCTGGTCCTTTGGTGTGTTACACATACACAAAAGACACCTTTTACCTCAACCTATACAAGCTTTGTGGATTACATGCTCTTATGTACAGTATATAAAAAAGAGGGTGAATGTGACGTATCTAATAGATTGAATAGAATTACTTCCCAAGAATTTCTATGTATGCACATGTATGCACTTAGTTGTGTAGAGGTGTTCACTTTTTTACTTCCTAAGAATTTCTCTATGTATGCACATGTATGCGCTTAGTTGTATAGAGGTGTACACCTATTAATTAATCGAAGATCGAGGATGATGAATATGATGACGATGATCATGAAGTTCAGATCTGTGATGAGTTTTTCGAGGCGATTTCGTGCACGCGCCAGTGACAAGGGTCAACACCGGATGGGTGAGGCTACGGGCTGATGGCAATTGAGGCCAACGTACGATGAGTCTAGTCTACTCTGAAATGGGAGTGGCTGGGGTGGGCTTGTGGGGTAGGAGTGATTAATGTCGGAGGGTGGGGCAGGGGGTGGTTATTGTGGATGTAGGGCAGGGGTGGTTGTTGTAGGCTGGTGTGGCTGGGAGTCGATGGGTGGCCTAGTGTGACATGGGAGGGGCTAGTGGGGCATGGGGCGGGGCTGGATTGGATTGATGGGGCAACAGCGGGGCTGGTTAGGCACTAAGGGCAGCTGTGTTCAGGGGTGGCAATGGCTGGGGACGATGGCAGTCAATAGAATGGTTGAGACAACCGTAATCACTGGAGGGCAGCGATGTCACTATTGGATTGGTCATTGGGGTTGGGATGGTCACTGATATCGGGGTGGTCACTAGGGCCGTGTGTCACTATGGTCGGGTGTCATTGGAGGCGGGATGGTAGTCAATGTCACTGAAGTCGGGATGCCATTGAGTGTTGGTAACTGTGCCATTTCAGTCACTGTGTCATTGGTCAGTGAGGAATATAGTCACTATGATATAGGTCACTGTAACACACTAATCACAGTATCAGGTCTACCGGGCTTAATAAGGTCATAATAGTCCGTTTCACCTTTTTTTAGTCACATTTTTGAAAATTCTAAAAAATGTAACCTTTTTTGTGCAGGAGTTAATTTTTGGTAACATTGATATCCGAACCTCATAATGTTTTTGTTATGTGATTACTTTGTCTTAGATTGAAACCTAAACAATTATCCATAAAATATAATTTTAATTTGCGCACACTGAGTCAAAAATTTAATTATTAATTTAAGGGAAAAAAATACACATGCATGATTAATGAGAGAAATTCTCAAGAGATGTCTTAATAACTTATTTATGTTTCCTATGCGAATCAATAGGAGTACATGACTTCCTATATTTAAGCTAATTAATTGAGAGTTACGGTGGATGAGAAAAAAATGGATGACCATACATACATTTACCCTCATATATTGGGAAATTAACTAATAAAGTCATAGATGGAGAAACTCATATTCTTTTAGTCACATGTGAGATAAAATTCTCTTAATTTAAACCTTGGATTTATTCTTCAATGTAACAATGTGATTGCAAAATATCATATAGGAAGTGTTAGTTGAAAATCACATTGAAATGGAATTATATATTTTCTTATTGAGAATGTTTTTACTTGGACTGTAATTTCTCCCAGACCAGACCAGTTCAGACCAGACCAGACGTGGATAGTTATAAAAATACAAAGAAACCAGAGTACCAGATCAGACCAGTTCAGATCAGACCAGACCAGACCAGCAAATTACAGTCCAAGTAAAAACATCCTAATTACCCCTTGATTCTAGTTGTTATACCGTGAGAGCATCCCATGGTGAGCATCTTACTAGCTCTCAAAGGTAAAACACATCTCTGAACAATAACACGCGTATGTGAACAACATTTTTTTTTGTTTTGTTTCAGTAGCAAAGCAATGCAACCCGTGTTAAAAGAAATACAACTCACGTTGATGGGAAATGTAATTGGAGACAAGTCAAAATGTAACTCACGGTGTATAAGAAATAAAAAATTGATTTCACTGTAAATAAGCAGTGAAAATGTAGAGTCTAATTGCCCAATGATTTTACGTAAATAGTGAATATGTTTGTTTTTAATATCAGGGATATAAAAGATGATATATTTTAAACAAATCATACTTTCACACCTGTAACACGCGTATGGTTGTAAACGAATCAAATAATTTATGCTCTATTCACAATTCGAATTCGTACAAGGCTATTCGAATTCGAAAAATTCAAATACAAATAAGAATACTAAATTTGATTCGAATTGTTATCAATTACAAATAAAAATATCAGTGTATTTGATTCGAATGTTAATCAAATATATCCGATAAATAATAGTGATAATATTAATAATAATATTAATAATAATAGTGATAACATTATGATAATTATTGAAAGGTAGCCATACCTGCAAAGTGTAGTCAAATTCCAAGCCTATTTGCAATAAATCAGAAGTATCATACGGAGTAAGGGTTGTAAATGAAGCAAATAATTTTAATTCGATTCGTGATTTGGATTCAAAAATTATGATTTAAATTTGAAAATATATAATATATAATACAAATAAGCTTTTTTGTTCAAATATCTTTCAAATACGATTACAAATAATTATGTATTCAACGCAAAGAATAATCATATATATTCGTTTATACATATACAAAATCAACTGCCTAATATGCATGTGTGTGCATCAACTATCCATTATACGTGTGTGTACTTTAAATTATACTTCGCATATCTAATGAGTTTTTTATTAGCAACAGTGCTAAATATCTAACATAAAATTAAAATCTTTTGACTTTGGTATATACAATTATCAACTTACTTAACATTATACGTATAATTTCTAATATGTGTGTGTTAGTGTGTATTTCAAAAAGTTTGAAATAGATGTATATTTAAAAATCATAAAATTGATTCACTTTATTATACTGTACATAATCTAAAAATACATTGATCCATTAATTTTTAAGAAAATGTAATGTTACAAATCAAATTCTAAAAACACATATTAAGTCATAGCATGCATTTATAACATAAAAATATAGGAAAAGTGTAAGGAATAATTGTAATTAGATTTTGATGATGCTATATTAATTAGGACTTTAGAGTACCCCTCTTTTCATTTAATGTATTAGAATTTTCCTTGTAAAGTTCTTTAGTATAGTCGACTGACAGAAGGCCTCCAGAACAGAAGACCTCCTGACAGAAGACCGTTGATAGGCTTTGTTTTAACAGAAGACCTTTGGCTCTCTGCTTCAGAACAGAAGACCTCTGGGTCTCTGTTAGCCTTTACACGGACAGAAACCATCCTGGTTCTCTGTTGGACATTTCTTCAACAGAAACCCTCAAGAGTCTCTGATAACCTTCTCCAACAGAAGTGCTCAAGACCTTCTCTGACCGACTCTCTGCTGAAGACACCAGAAGGTCTGACACTTAGAGAATTTCACCAAGCCGGTAAACCAACCGAAGATTCCTTCAACGGCTAGGAGTCTTGAACAGAAAAGCTACAATACGCGCATTAAATGCACATTTAATGCTTCCCGTACTCTGTAGAGTAAATGCAGATAATTGGCCGCATTGTCACGATTGCTTAATCCCAAAATAGTAACCCGCCAACTTTGCTGGATCCTACTAGTCAAGTCAACTGCTCGCACATTTAATGCAGTTGTCCTCCTTCTCCTCCAACGGGAAGACAACCTCAGTATAAAAGATACACTACGAAGAACAACCAGATAACTTTGCTACATCAGTGCGAATACAAAAACATTCAAACGCAAAAAACGCATAGCCTCCTTGAGATTCAATATTCATCATCTTCTACAAGAGAAGGCAGACGTTGGAAAGATTCTTACTTCCAACTCAAGCAAAGTTCTAGTCGTTCTTCAACTCTTCAAGCTCTTCATCTACAAATCCTTTGTAACGAAGCAAGTTGGAGGAACCCCTGTTTTTAACAGAAACTCTTCTTTCACAAGAAGGACGTCCAAGTACCTGGAGCAGTGAAGTGGTGATACTTCCGGGAAAGCTCAGTGAAAGGACCAGTCTTAAAGGAAGCCAATAAGTGCATCCCAAGAGACACCTACACTTGAAGAAGACGTGGAGAGCTTCTTAAGTGATAGGACTAAGACGTTGTAAACGGTCGTTTTTACAAGATTAGTGGAACAGTGGACTAGAGGAACAAGTTATTCCTTGAACCACTATAAAAAGCCCTGGTGTCATTTACTTACTGCATATTATTTATCGTTTTTATCTGAACTGTTTAACTCCAAAGACTTGGTCTCTATGTTCAGCAGAACTTGTCTTGTGAGTTAACATAAGGCCTACTGCCTTTGCTTCTCTGAGGCTAAACTAACAGAACCCCTACCAGTACCCCACCCGCTGCCACAAAATGCTAACTTTTCGATAAAGGTTACTCCCTGCAATCACTCCAACTTCTTTGTACAACCTCTCTACAACCCACATCTTTAAGCCATATATTTTCAATTCTGAAAAACCTTTTTCCACCCCTCCATACATTGGGTAGTAGCCCACTATACAACATGAGATTATCGCTAGAAGGCCCTTCTAAAGATGTAGCATGCACTACTAAAAAAACTCGGTATCGGCAGAGATTTTGGCTCGGATAAATACCATGCCAAATTTAGCTCGACATTTGGCTCGGATAACTAATACATATAAACCGTATCCAGTTTATTATTATTATTATTATTATTATTATTATTATTATGATTATTATTATTATTATTATTATTATTATTATTATTATTATTATTATTATTATTATTATTATTATTATTATTATTATTATTATTATTATTATTATTATTATTATTATTATTATTATTATTATTATTATTATTATTATTATTATTATTATTATTATTATTATTATTATTATTATTATTATTATTATTATTATTATTATTATTATTATTATTATTATTATTATTATTATTATTATTATTATTATTATTATTATTATTATTATTATTATTATTATTATTATTATTATTATTATTATTATTATTATTATTATTATTATTATTATTATTATTATTATTATTATTATTATTATTATTATTATTATTATTATTATTATTATTATTATTATTATTATTATTATTATTATTATTATTATTATTATTATTATTAT